GCTCATGAATTCATATTTGAGGGATAGAAGGTTATTTGTCGAATATGGTGGTCATAGGTCGAGTTACTATCGGGCCACGTCCGGGTTACCTCAAGGGTCAAATCTAGGTCCATTATTGTTTTTCATATTTATCAATGACTTGTCTTTTGAACTGAAGTGTTTCCATTTGTTTTTCGCTGATGACCTTAAAATCTGCATGTCAATCAAGACAGTCGAGGATTGCGTCATGTTGCAAGATGACTTATCTCTAATTTCGTCATGGTGTTCACGAAACTGTCTCAGTTTGAATGTTTCGAAATGTAAAGTTATGACTTATACAAGAAAAGTTAACTATTTAATTTATGATAATTATAACATCATGGTCAGGTTATATATAGATGCACCTCTTATAGAGAGACCTTGGAGTCATTTTTGATACCAAGCTAACGTTTACTGAGCATATACTCAATATCTAGTCGGATACCACTCGACTACTTGGTTTCTGTATCAGAAACTTGAAGGGTTTCTCCAATGTTGATACATTAATGACTTTATTTTTTACTTTTGTCAGGAGCAAGTTGGAGTATGCGACTCTGATCTGGTCTCCTATATACCAAAATTCTGTCGTGATCCTTGATGCCATTCAACGTAAAGCTTTAAAGTATTTTCACCTTAAATGCACAGGTTCTTATCGAGAAAGAGGTTGTGACCATAGTGCTCTGTTAGAGTTTTTCAATTTGGATTCACTGTCAACAAGACGAAACATATTTGCTTTGTCGTTTTTGTATGGCCTCATTCACAGTAAAATTGACTGTCAAAATTTACTTGAAAAAATATGTTTCCGCGTTCCAAGGCTAGGGAGTCGACAACAAACGGCATTTTATTGTCAAGCTGGCCATACAAATGTTATGACAAAATCGCCAATTGATCTCATGTGCTGCGTCATGAACAGTGTTACTGAATCGTGTGATACTCGTATTTACAGTGACAGTTGTGCATCGATTATTAACTGCCATAGATCATCCAATCTTATTTAGAATGTGTGATACTATAGATTTAAGTCCAAGAACCATGTATCTTTAATTGTTATTTTTTTCAGCGTTTCCTGTAATTGGGTTTCACCTGTTGGAAATAAATAAATAAATTAATAAATAAGAAGGTTGAAGATTCAATTCGTCATGATCCGGGTAAGTTTTGGTCATTTTTAAATTCAAAGAATAATCAGTCTAGAATACCAGGCTCTATGTCTTTTGGAGGCAACGTTTTTGATACCCCTCAAGCTATTGTTGATGGATTTGCACAATATTTTTCGAGTGCGTTCACTACCTCAGATCCGTCGACTTTCAGAAATATCACTTCAGAAAATTGTCACATATAATTAAATCATATCAGTGAACATGATATCATACAGGCATCAAAAAAATTGAAGAATAACGTCTGGTTTTGATGGTGTACCTAGCTTCATAGTTAAGGATTGTATTCATATCCTAGCTAAGCCTCTTTGCTATATATTCAATTTGATTTTAAAATCTCGTTGTTATCCTAAAATTTGGAAGATGACAAAAATTTGTCCTATATTTAAGAGTGGTGTCAACTCAGATGTAAGTAATTATCGTCAAATAGCTATTTTATGTAATTTTAGTAAATTGTTTGAGATAATAATTTATAACACAATATTCAGCTCCGTAAGATCTCTCATCTCTGAAAATCAACATGGTTTTATGGTTGGCAGATCTACGGTCACAAATTTAGCTTGTTTCACTCAGTTTGCCGCTAGTGCACTTGATTGTCAGGGTCAAGTATATGTAGATGTGATATACACAGATATTGCGAAGGCCTTTGATCGGGTTGATCATTATATATTGTTGGCAAAGCTTGAAGCGTTAGGGTTATCAGCCTCTATGTTGACTCTCTTACGGTCATACCTTGCTGATAGGTCACTATATGTTGAATTTGGTGGAAGCAAGTCCAAAATTTATACAGCAACATCTGGAGTTCCACAATGTTCGAACTTAGGACACTTGTTATTTCTTATTTTCATTAACGATCTGTCTTTGAAGCTAACCTGTATGCACTTGCTTTTTGCTGACGACTTGAAGATATTTTCGCCAATTCACTCTTCGAGTGACTGTGTGGAGATGCAAAGCAAGCTTGACTTCATATATGAATGGTGCAACATAAATCTGCTAACGTTAAATGTCAAAAAATGCAAAGTGTGGCATATAGTCGGAAGCAGGACCCCATCATATACAATTAAAACCTTAATGAAAGCGTTTTAGGAAGAGATTCAAGTTTTAAAGACTTGGGAGTAGTGTTCGATAACAAACTCACTTTTAACGATCACATATCAGATATTGTATCATCTGCATCACGGTTGATGGGTTATTGTGTACGTAACTGGTCCGGTTTCTCTAATGTGCACTGTTTAAGAATATTGTATTTTTCATTTATCAGGAATAAGTTAGAGTATGCGTCCTTAGTATGGTCCCCCCTATATCACAATGCAATCGGTAAACTGGAGGCTGTACAACGTAAAGCTCTAAAGTATTGGTATTTTAAGTGCAGTGGTAGATACCCAGAGAGAGGATTTGATCATGACGTATTATTGGAGTTTTTTGGCATTGAATCACTAAAGAATCGTCGTGACGCTCAAGCTCTCACTTTCCTTTATAAGTTAATGAATAATCATATTGATTGTGGGTTCCTACTGAGTAAGATTAATTTTCATGCTCCCAGATTAGTTGGTCGGCATAATCATATATTTTACTGTGATACACCACGGACGAATATTTTATGCAGATCCCCAGTAATGGTAATGTGTACCTTATTCAATTCAATCTGTAACAGAGCTGATGTACATATGTCATGACAGTCTTAATAAAATATTAAACATTTACAGGGAGCAATTGACATAAAATCGTTTTGTTGATGGTGTCAGTTATTGTTATTCTTCAATTGGAGCACTTTTATGTTTTTTTCTTCTCTTTTTTTGTAGAAGTGTTTAATTGTTCAAACACCTATGTATTATGTGTTCATTCAGATCACTGATGTTTTTCTATTTTTTTTTTATTATTTTCTGATTCATTGTCTATATATATACATGTGTATATATGTATGTATATATATATATATATATATATATATATATATATATATATATGTGTGTGTGTGTGTGTATACATGTGTATATATGGTACCATTTTGTTTTGATTTCACTAATTTCCTGTGATTGGGTGTATACCTGTTGGAAATAAATATATTATTATTATATATTATTATTATTAAAGAAGTGTCCACACACGGACCTCACTATGAAAACACGCGGAAAAGTGAAGCTGGAATACATATAGTTCAAGGAAAGCTCTGGCCTAGGGACCTACATGATGGCTTTCTAGACTGAAATGTAATAGCAACATATTCAGTGATACAACAAAGTAAAAAAACGATGCTTTTACAAGCGGCTTTAACGACGGATGCCTCTCCAAAGACAAGATCAGATCTTGGGTCTTGTGAAAGATGTGGCCCTTTTGTGAACAGTACTGTATGAGGAGCTGAATTCTTGTTAGCCAATGGAAACTAGGCGTCGTTCTTTCAGGGAAAAGGTGTGGAAGTCTCGTCATTGTACAGTCTGGGAAAATCAAAAATTCGCCTCTGTTAGCAAAGTTAAACTCGGCTTTAAAATAAACTAAGCCTAAAATACTTTTCTGGGTTTTGTAGATGAAGATTTGAACTTCAATTTAAACAGTTGGCAGCTTATAAAGCACTAGTTTTTACCCAAGTTTTCATTTTAAATGCAAATTTTTAAGGTTTTCAACTATCCAATCCAACATAGCTCGAATACGGTCAACGAAATGTTACTACCCACATTTTTTGTTTAGAAAAAATCCTAAAAAGCTTTGTCAAGGATTGGGTAGACCACAAGTTTTATTCTATTAGAAACTTCTTTATCACCGCCGTCGCTTATAGTAATTGAGACAATCGAACTGAGAGATATGTCTCTTTTTAGAGATAATTTATTGCGTCGTTAGTCTTCATTATTATTTCTAGATTATTTCAAGTGATCGTTAAGTTTCCTTAATCGAAATGAGCAATAAAGCAATAATTTACAGCCCATTAACACCCCAGCATCTAGTAAATGAGTTTGATATGTAGCATTGGAAGAAAATTTAAGGAAAATGTATGAATTTGTCTTTCAGTTATAATTACTTATTCCAGGTTAACATTAATGACTTTCGCGATACCCAGTGATCATTTCTGAACAGGTGTTGGGATATTAGACGATGCGATGCGAAACTTCGCATTGGCTGGAGACGTTTTTTAATTCGATTTTTTTAAATAATTACGTTTATTAGATGCCGTTTGACATAAAGATGTTCCGGGGTAGAAACTTGTGCAAAGCCGCTGACAATTTCTGAAACAAAAATTGATTTTTTCACTCCGGACAATCAAGCAAGCTTTTGATTTTTGCATACATCAGCCTCATCTCCAAAGTCGAAGGTAATCTACTGCTAAAACATTTAATAATACAAAGAACCAGGAACATCTTATTTTGCCGTAAATGATATACCTATTCACAAACTTATCATCAAAATTAAAGAAAAAATCTGTCAGAAAAGGTGCGAAAAGTAACTGAACACTTTCTATTGGCCTTGATACTCCCTCGTTTTCAAGAATTGATATCAAGGGAACGATAAAGGGACCACCTGGACTTTTCATTGGCTCCCAATTGATTCTGGGACTTGGTAAATGGTGGGTTATTAGTAATGTTCTAGCCACATATTTCCAACAGTTTGACACACGATTGTGAACCCCTTCAACAAAACACTAGTTTCAAACCATCGATATACAGGGTGACTTTGCAGTTGAGTCATTAATTTTCAGATAATGATTGTAGAATATATTTATTAATTGTAGATTCCCTAAAAACTCTGACCGTTGCCAACTTTGGGTGAAATTTGTTAATAGGGGTGAATGGACACCTACAAGATCTAGTGTTATTTGCTCGAAACATTTTTCTGAAGAGTCATTCGATAGAACATCAAAATGTTATGTTAATCTCAAACCAAATGCTGTTCCGACAATACATCCAAACCAGGTAGGTATGTTAATAAAATCATGTTTGTTCCCTGAAATGTTCTGTATACTTAATTCAAAACAGCCATTATGTATTTTGTCCTTTTTATAGTTCTCCTTAATATAATGTCATCTTAAATGCATGTTTTAATGTAAATTCTAGGTTTCATAAATGTCTAGAAGTAATGAGCGTTAATGTTTTATTTTAGGAAGAGTCACCACCTGCCAAGATACTAGTACTATCAAATACAGTATTAAGACCTACTTTCGACTCATCCCTTCTACAGAAACAAGCAGTTAGTATAAGACATCATAGCAATAAGCTTATATTATTTAGAGTGCAGTAATCAATTAATCTGTAATCTATGTATTTATGTAATAAAGATTATTTCCACACCTGATTTTTATTTATGTGGGCACGCAAAAACTAAATTACTTAAATAATATTTGGATAATACACATGTATCTAATAGATTTTATTAGGCCTAATATTCTCAACAACAAAAAAATGTAATTTCGTCCCGGTCTACTGAATTCAATTTTCACGTGCTAAAAGACGAGAAGTACGATTAGTGATATTTGAAAAAAATGACATATGTTTACCAAGTTTGGTTTTCAAAAGATGCGATGTATGAATCTTGAGAAAGAAATGTCATAAGAAAAAATATTTAAAAAAAACTCGTAGTTAATCAGGAAATCTATTGCACCTCTAAAAATTTGACTCCAACTGACAGTATACTATCACAACCAAATTTGATGAACATATGTTTTAGGTGGTCCTGAATAATAAACCGGTGTAATTTTTTCCAAATGTCGCTTATAGTAATTCTCGATTCTTCGCTCTTAAAACTTGAATACAGTGTTGGGTCGTGTCTTACATTTTCTGAATATCCGCAAACTGACATTTTTGACCATCCAACAAAAAAAGTTTATGAAAATCGGTCAAAAAACACAAATGTTGAAGTAAGTATATTAAATAGATTTTTTCTGAATACATAAGTGTAGCAAATGATATCATTTACATATAGCATAAGTGCAATCAAATCAAATACATACATATTGTTAAGCGACTAAGCTCCACCCCCCAGTCCCTTTATCGATAGCATGATTTATATGACAATAGCGTCTCCTTTTGTATTATATCTCGATGTTTCAAACTGTTTCAAATTTGATTTTGCTAGAACACATTTTCCTGTCCTATTTGACATTTAAATGGAATTCTATGCTTCTTTCATGATTGTTAGGCCATTGAATTACAGTTCCAGATAGGTTCTTAAGCTTGATTAAATGTCTTATTCTGTAGAACAAACAACTAATCGTTATATCAAATCTGTCTGCTACGAAATGATGATGTTTCCTGCAGACCACAAAAAGATGAGCATTTGCTCATAAGCTCGTTTCCTTCAGTTGTCTTCTTGAAGAACATGCTGTGTTCGTATTTAGTTGACACATCTTGTTCATTTAATGGTCATTTTTTCTCTTTTTATAGCCTAAAATGTTTTCATTTTTGCATACTTCTGTGAGGAATACAAACAAGTATACACAATATAAAAATAGTACACACCGAATTTTATAAAAAACGGTTATTTGGCTTCAATCTTATCAATTGAAAGTTGCAACGAAACCAAGAAAGACTCAAACTCCCCAACACAATCCAAAAACCATAACCCCAAATCATAAGGCACCCACATCAAAACGATTAAGATCTTGTGCGATCTGCGCATGTCAGAAACTTCGAGTTTCATCAAAATCCTGTGTACTGCTTTGACCATCCAAAACCAGTTTTCAAACTCTATGCGCATGCTCAGTCGGTTTCAAACACTTGGAAATGTGATATTAGAGTATTACTTATACCGCCAGAAACGACTGGGCACTCAGGGAATTAGCGGAAGCATAACTGAGCAGAAGAAGTTCACAGACAATCGTCGTGAGTTTGTCTCTGAAATCATCGAGAGAGACGCAACACCTCGGCCGCTCAGTCTGTATTTGGTATTTGATTTTTAGGCGTGGTCACTCCAGTCGAACACGGCACGGGTATTACGAATCTTGAAAAGTGACATTATGTCGATTTTTTTGACATTTTATTGTTTTTTGTGATATTATATAGATTTTTCTATAAGATATTGACTAAGCACTAACTGATGGTCACGTTGTGAACTCGTTTTGTACTTGTACGGGTTGCCTAAACGTCATGAGGCTTCAGTTATTAATGCACAGTGATTCCTCCATAGGCCAAAAATCCCAAAAACTCATGAGTTTATAACGATCTAAATAAGTCGCTAAGTTATCGAGTAGGCACAAGGCTTTAGAAAAATATGAATAACAATGCAATTAGTTCAAACTGTCATTTACTTTCGTCCATCGCAATTGACAGCTTTTTATAATTTCAAGCCTAGTGGTTTCACGTAGTGACAATATGGAGATGCCAGAATATGGTATGTACTTTTAGTATTTACCTTTTTTTTGTAAAAACATCCGTTTTGGAGTTTTATATAAATTTTTTAGTGAAAGTTGTTTTTAGTAGATTTTTTTTCTACAAAACTGTTGAGATTAATGTTATCTTAAAGTAGAGAATGTCTAGATTAGGGGCCTATATGTTTCATCTGCATCTTGCTGCCCGTTCTTAGTACAGAAAAAAGAGGTATTTTCCAAAGCTAATTTTGTTGTTGTTTTAGGTAATTTTTTTAAGTATTCTGCTCCGAGGAGGACTATTTATGATATTTGGGACTCTAAGAAGGGTAGTGTGCCAAAGAAAAATATATACTCGACACGTTGACTGAAACGTCGTGTCTTTCAGATAACGTCGAAAATGTTGATTTAGGGAGATTTAAGTGATAGAATTATAAATTTACGCATTTCACATTATTGGGTAAAGTTGAATCGGCCGAAATATAAATTGGTGGAAAAGTATTCTGATTGACTAAATGCAGTTGAAAATATTGATAAACCACGATGCATTGAGCAACTCATGGTGGTGATCACGCTTTGTTGTGAATTGGGGAGTTATCTGAAGAAGCGGCTGAAGCGACTAATAAACACATTAAATTATTTCGACGAGATTATACACAAAAAATTAGCCGCGGTTTGACCAACGAATATGGACTAGGTTAGAATAAGCCAAGCCCATATGATGTTCAACAATTGTGTGTTAGCAACATCAACAGATTATTTACACAAAATTTGACCTTGAACGAAAATTGTATACTTTTCCCAGAGTAGACATCTGCTTTTATCGCGCTAAAACTGCTTTTTACATAACATGCACCACTTCACCATCTTGGAAAATAGTCCAAAATGCTATATATTCTGCTGAAATGTTTCAAAATCCTCAAAACTCTGTGAAAATATCACGGAAAACAGACGTAAACATGACAACATCAGCAAAATAAAGCTTCCTCTCAATTTCACAAAGCCGCGGCATAAAACACTAGAAATCAGCCCAGCTGTTCTTAATTTGCCACCACAGCGTTGCCACGTTTAGTACGCAAATATTACTTTTTCAGGAAATATCACCGGGATATAACAATACATATTTCTTAATTGCCTTCGGTGCTTATTTCAGATGTATTTTGAAATGCTGAGTACGAAACCAGAATAAGAATAGCTCAAGACGTTTTCGGAAATCGCTGTGATGATTTTTTTGGAAAAATTATTTGTTTCAATTTTTGCGGGTTCCGTGAAGTTAGTAGATTTTGAAGCTATGATGACACTGCATCAGTTAGTGGAAACATTGTAATGTGAAATATATTACGGTACTGAAACCAAATAAGACTTTCTTTTTCGTGCAGGTGTTACAAACAATTTTTAACTGTACATACACATGAGTTGTTCTCTTTGAAAATACAAAATATTGGAGACAAGTTATTACTCTTTATTTAGTTATCACCACGTATCACATTTTACGATTATTTTTGCACTGCTCAGTGCTATCATCGATCGATTACGTGAAAGCAGTTGTTGATTTTGAACAAGATGTGGCAACACCGCCACTCGAGTTGGTGTGTCGCTCTAGATGTCTAGATGATTGATAAAAACAAATCCGTTGTTTACGTCTTCTACCCGTATTCCAATTCCTTGGGTTTGACCAATACCAATCTAATTAATAAGCTTCTCCTTCATTCGGATCCCTTAATTTTGGGTTTACCTAAGTTACCTGTTTCAAAAAAAAAAACAGATTGTCAACATCTGTGTTGGATTTGTTAAGTTAATTGGTTCCATTTTAATGTATCACTATGAGTATTAGAGTTTATAATGTTTTTCAATATATCTTGTTTGCCCTTATCATGAACTGTTTTATTTTATTTGTTTAATATAAGCTAGATCTAAAACAATATTTAAATCAAAAATACTGAGAAACATTTTTACTACCTACTTATTATTTTTTGTTTCTGAAAAAGAATTTTATAAATCGTACTTTCATGTTTGTACAACTGTATTTTAAGGTTTAAAATACAATGAAAAGGGTTAAATCTAAGTTGTGTATTTATGGCCGCCCTAGTATGGAAGGGCTGAATGTTTGGCTCTGATGTGATGTAAAATCTGTTTCAAAGATGGCATTACTGGAGGTCTAAGCTATACATTGTATACTATAGCTAGGAAGAAACGGCAATGCATAGGTGCACAGTGAGGATTTGTGTGCTGATAATGTGTGTTTATGATAATTCCATTGGATTCTTGTCTCAAATACACTTAATTGACATGCAAAGCTAGAAATCAGTTGCGCATACACTTTTTATTATCTAAAATGGGAGAGATAAGAAATTGATTTTCAGACATTCCTGGCATATTTCTAAAATCTTCAGGATGCTCTTCTCTTAATTCTGCTAATATGTGGCGTCCGAATTTACCCTTGAAAGTATCCACTTCCTGACTCAAAAATGCATTTTGTTCCGATTTTCTATCTGGTCACATGACTCTCCCAAACCTTTCGCTAACATATCTCTAAAAACCGCGCTTAAAACTACACATCTTTCAATTAGAAGTCCCTTCATGGTCGGATTCAAGAAATGATCTGAATCGTGAACAGTCCACGATTCTCGCTGGTTAACTTTCTTACCTCCAAGTCAAGTCAAGAGTTACTGCAGTCTTTTTGTCCAGTAAGAAGGAAGCATTAGAACTGAAGTACTCCGCATCATGGAGTGCAGTTAGCTTTAGTATTGAACCTCGGGGCCGCCAAAAATGGCCTAATAACCTCCCTTTATTTTATTAATTTATTTATTAAGTACGAGTATAGCATTTGCTACAGATTTTCCACTGTAATGTAGCAACCAAGCAGACTATTAAGAGAATGCAGAATCGTCTTCCGCGTACGTTGGTTAAGATGAAAGGCCATATATCAGTGGTTTCGAACACTGGCTGGCGCTCAGGCAATTACCAACGATATAAACATATTT